AGCCTGAGCAGCAACTGCCGCATGAGTTCAACCCACATGGGTCAACAGACTTCTCCTGACTCACCCCCTGCTCCCCACAGCAATGTATTTCAGTAGATCCACCTGTTCTGCTCCCACTCTATCTCTGGTGAATCCTCTCACCCTCTATACCTCTGGCCTAGACCCCAGTTCTTCTACAAGATTAAAAAAAAGGAATCATAATCCTGTGCTACCTGTTATTCAAGTTCTGAAAAACAGTTGTTTCATAGTTTTGTTGAATTTCCTAGTTGTAGATTTGTAGATCTAGTTGTAGATCCATGATGGCCAGAAGGGAACAATGTGGCCTTTGTTCAGAGTGACCTTTAAACCATCTTCTGATCAATGAAATCTTGCTTGGATGTAGATCTGGTTTTCACAGTAAAATATCCTGTGGGCTTACCTCATCTGTCATGGGTCAAATATGGGTTAATGAAAAGTGAAAATATTAGATAAAGAGTACAACTTTGAATAAACATTGGTCACAGTATTTCCTCTTAAATTTTAAGATGTTTAGGGTGTCCCTGGTGGCCTAGGGGTTAAGTCTCAGCACTGTCACCACTACAGCCTGAGTTTGACCCCCAGCCAGGAAGCTAACCCACATATGGTGAGCAGACCTTTCCTATCTTGCTTGCTGCTTCCCTTATTAGTGTATTTCAGTAAACCTGCCTGTTCTGCTCCCTACTCTGTCTCTGGTGACTCTCTGAGTTCCCCCCTCCTCCCCCGACCCCGCCTCCCCCGAACTCTGGCCTACTCCCCAGTTCTTCTATGCAAAAAAAAAAAAAAAATTATAAGATGTTCAAAATCTTAAATCACTTATGTTGAATTAGTTTTTTTTTTTCTTGAAGACTATGGGGATAATTGTTTAATAGTGATTAAAAGTACAATAACCCTAACTTAAAAATGAAATCCATAATTTCTAGGTTAATATGTACATATTAATTCATTCAACAAATATTCACTGCTTACCAACTTCACGCCATCAAGTATGCCAGAAACTAGAAATATATTGGTGAGCTAAACCAACATATTCCTGCCCTCATGAGTCTAACAGTGTATGGAGCAACACTTAAATACTTATATATGTAATTATTATATATGATGTAGTAAGTACTCTAAAGGAAAAGTACAGGAAACTGTGAAAGCACAAAACAGGGTATGTAGTCAGATTCTAAATGGTGGCAGATAGTCTCCAGAATAGAAACTTTTTTTTTAAAGATTTATTTATGTATACAAGAACTGGGGTACAGGCCAGAGGTGCCAGGATGGGCAGTGAGAGGATTCACCAGAGACAGAGTGGGGAACAGAACAGGCAGACTGACTGAAATACACTGCGGAGAGGAGCAGTAGGCAAGGCAGGCAGGATCTGCACCATGTGGGTTGCTCCCTGGCTAGCCAGGGATCGAACTTGTGCTGCAGAATCTGTGGATTGCTTCATGGTGCTGTTGCTTAATCCCTTGTGCCACCAGGGAGGCTCCAGAATAGAAACTATTATTTTCCTTTTTTTTTCAGATAATATATCTCAGATATTTTGCTGAAATTTTAGAGAAGCTATTATATAGTGAGGTTGTTGGGGTTTACTGCATCTTAAATGACTTTCAATCAGTTCTCTTTGTTTTAATTCTGCTTTCACTTACTCTTAACTTTCAGAAATATCTGTTGCTTCCACTTACTCAGCACTTTGGAGATTTTGCACTGTAGCCAGCTTAGTGCTTGGCATCTAGATATTACTAATTTGAGATTCTGCTTTCTTGGATCTGGTAAGTCTTCCACTACTTTTCTATATGCTATCTTCAAATATTTTATTACAGATCTTACTCTCTTGTTCTTTGTATCCTTTTGGACTTGTGTCATTCTTATGACACCTTCTTGTCATCTTAGTGAAATTTCAAAGGAAGCAAAAGTTGATTCATGTGTCTAACATTACACCAAAGTCAGTAACCTTTTTTCACTAAAAAAAAAATCTTTGGGCCTCCCTGGTGGCTCAGTGGGTTAAGATGCAGCCTAGCACGAGTTCAATCCCCGGACAGGGAGATACCCACATGGTGTGGCAGACCTCTCCTGTCACGCCCGCTGCTCCCCTCAGCAGTGTATTTCAGTCAATCTTCCTGTTCTGTTCCCCACTGTGTCTCTGGTAATCCTCTAACCCCCCATATCTCTGGCCTGTACCCCAGTTCTTGTATGCATAAATAAATAAATCTTTTAAAAAATCTTTGCAGGAAACTTTAGTGAAATAGGAAATATGTAAGTAATAAAACTAAAACAAGTGAGAAAATCCTAGTATATAGCGAGCTTTCCTTATATGAGTTTTATTATGCAAATTAGCCATAATTTCCTTAACATAGAAAATCTCAGTGTTTTATGTCTATGTTAATATACTTACTTTTCACATAGTAGTATATTGTGTTTTCTTAGAAGACAATCAATTTTTCCTCTTGAAACATACAAAAATGATCTGGTATAAGCCATTCCCAAAAAATGCAGTGGATTCACCAATAATTTTGTGATATGTTGCAATGTTTAATCAAATGCAGACATTTTTATAGATGATCCTCCATATATAAATAAGTAAATACTTTTATTTAAATCCCATGTTTGAAGTGATTTTATCTTTATGTGAGCGCAGGCGATATGGTATAAAGTGGGCAGACTCTTGGTAAACTTTGGTAATAATTGCAACTCTGTCACTTGCCAGATATAGAACTGAGGAGCTTAGTTAACCTCTTTAAATTCTTGCTCATTTGTAAAATTAGGGCAATAATATCTAACATTCATTAAACACATATGTATCACATTGTCTTTTTATGAACCACTGATCTAAAGTATCTCCAACTGTTCCCTTCAGTCTCATTCTTTATCATATTGCCCTGTTTTGTTGTCTTCAAGTTCATATCACTACTTAAAAACATTGTTAGTTTTCTTCTGTCTTTCCCACTATGTATTAGGATTCTCAGAGAAACAGAACCAAAAGTATTTATATATGTGTGCGTATGTGTGTTATACATGTATATATTGATATGTGTGTATACAATATATAATGTACAATGTATTTTTTTTAAGATTTATTTATTTATGCATACAAGAACTGGGATACAGGCCAGAGATGCAGGACATAAGAGGATTCACCAGAGACAGAGTGGGGTGCAGAACAGTCAGGCTGTCTGAAATACACTGCTGAGGGGAGCAGTGGGCGAGACAGGAGAGGTCTGCTGTGCCATGTGGGCTGCTCCCTGGCCAGCCGGGGATTGAACTCGTGCTTCAGAGGCTGTAGATATCTTCACAGCACTGCGCTTTAACCCCTTGTGCCACCAGGAAGGCCCATTGTAATGTACAATATATTAACACTTATATATAATTGATATCTGTAAATACGTAGATGTGGCATTTATATTTTACACATGTAAATATATGCATTTATATGTTGTATATTAATATTTATGTGAAGAGATTAAAAATTATTTATACAAAGAGATGTAAGGAATTGTCTCATGATTATGGAAGCTGCAAGTCCAAATCAGCAGTTGAATCTAAATCTGAGCCAGCAGGCTGGAGACTCAGAAGAGCCAACGCTGCAGTTCCTGTTCCAGTCCAAAGTCCACTAGGCGGAGAGTAACCCAGAAGAGCCCGGGGTGCAGTTTTAGTACAGTCCGTTGGAGAATTCCCTCTTGCTCCCAACCATATCATAAGGGCAATCTGCTTATTCAGAGTTCACTGCTTTAAATGTTCATCCTATACAAACTACCATCCAAGTTGAAATGTAAAATTAACCATCACACCAACTCAACAGAGAACTGGAATCTTGTCACATTTTGGACTGTACCTCCAGCACCTGTAATACCTGTGTCATAATAGGTGGTTCCTTTGTGTTGACTGAATCAAGTCTGTCAGATTTCAATCATGGGGGCCTCCCCGGTGGCGCAGAGGTTGAGGCTGGGTTGCGAAGCTGCCCGCTGCCTCTGCAGTGCTGGTTCGATCCCTGGCTGCACCCGGCCACCGGAGGAGGGTCCTACATGACGCGCAGACCTCTCCTGCCGCCCGCTGCTCCCCTCAGCAGTGTACTTCGGTCCTTCTGCCTGCTCTGCTCCTCGCTCTGGCTCTGGTGAATTCTCTCACCCTCCCGCGCTTCTGACTGTACCCAGTGCTTGTATAAATAAATAAATAAATATTAAAAAAAAAAAGATTTCAATCATGGTTCCTTATATAACAATACCATGCTTTGCCTAAATTCACCCTGCTGCCACTCCTCAATGGTATCTAAATGTGGCTTATGAAACTTTAACCAGTATACAATTTTAAATAATTTATATTATTGGTTTTATAATTTATATGCATAGTGGATCACTTGATAAAGATAGGAAACTAAAGAACATTGGTGCTTAAATACAAGTTATTATTGGGCATAAAAATATATGGTTCGAATCTATCTCTGTGAAATCTCACCTCTGTTCAAGCTTTAAACTGTAGTAATGTTTTAATTGCTGGTAGTTCCTTTGCACTATTTCTGAACATGTAATCCCACTCTTGCTTTTGTCCTCCCAGCTTCTAGCCTTTTCAACACAATTTAGGCATGGTGTCTTTTGGAAAGTCAAGTCCTTAGAGTAGGGGTCTTTAGCATCCCATGAATGTCCTTATCAGAGCACTTAGGGACTATATTGTATGTATCTGTTTACAGGCTATTTTTCCCACGAAGCTGATTTCTTAATGACAAATTCAATAACTTAAAAGTATTTGAATCTCCCCGAGTTCTACAGTATTAGACAAATTGTGGGGTTCAATAAAATCTTCATTAAATTAAATTGAAAGGTGTTGAAGAGCGAGGTGGGAGGATTGAAGGGCAAAAAAGCAATTTCATAACATGGAATCTTGTACGTTGCAAAGATCTCCATAGCTCAAGCGAGATGCAAATTGGCAGAAGAGCCAGAGGTGAGTCATGGGATGTCAATGAGGTCATAGAGCTGTAACGTCAAGTTAAGTTATTAACAATGATACCGGTTGGCAAAACTGACAAGGGGCAGGGCTGGGGAGAGGATGGGGGTCTCCAGAATCTGGAATTAGCTAGCAGCCACGCTTGTGAATCGTCTTTTCCAAGGAACTAGAGGCCACGGAAAGAATCAAGAACCATTAGAGGAGGAAGGTGCTTCAAAGTCCCTTTGGTGGTTGTGCCCAAAATCTCGCAGCCAACGGACAAAAGGCCAAGGCCAGACTGCCTCCTACAGCATCAACTGCCCGTCACACTTTTCCCTCCGGTTCATTTTACTCTTGCGAACTCACAGCCTCCACAGTCTGGTGGCCAGAGAGTCAGGTGCGCCCAGGGAGCAACTACAGTAAAGCCTCGGCTTCGACTTCACAGCAAAGCTTGGCTTAGCAGGGCCTCTTTTCTGGACATCTTGTGGCCTGCGGAGATGACTTGTTATTTCGTGATACGACGCTACAGGTTATGAATACAAACAGCGGGGCTTGGCTCCGGGCTTCCAGCCGCCTCGCGTTGGGGTCTAGCTGTCTCTCCAGAACCCTTCCCGCCCCGCGCCAGAGGGAGGAAGCAAGCGGAAGGGGCGGGTTTTGCGACCGGACGGGAGGCCCCGGCCACCATGGCTTCTCGTGGGGTCGTGGGCGTTTTCATTCTGTCTGCTCTCCCCCTGTTGTGTCTGGAGCTCCGGCGTGGGATCCCGGATCTAGGTAAGTGTTGGCGTCTCCGTTTGGCGCTCACCCAGGTAAGTTTCCCGTGATGTCGCGTAGAATTACCGTCTCGACGCCCCGTGGCTCTGGGCGGCCTTGACTACGACTCCCAGGCTGCACCGCGCCTGCCGCCCGTTTCCCGCGGGGAGCCTCCTGGCGCGATTCTCCCGCCGCCTGGGGGAACCGGCTTCACTAGGGCAGTGCTCCTGCCGGAGGTGAGGCTTCTCGTGTTAAGATGACAGGCAGAGGGCCTCCCTGGTGGCACAAGGGGTTAAGCACAGCACTGTGAAGCTATCCACAGCCTCTGCAGCACGTGAATCGTCTTTTATTGGCTGCTAGCCAATTGGCTGCTAGCTAATTCCAGATTCTGGAGACCCCCATCCCCTCCCCAGCCCTGCCCCTTGTCAGTTTTGCCAACCGGTATCATTGTTAATAACTTAACTTGACGTTACAGCTCTATGACCTCATTGACATCCCATGACTCACCTCTGGCTCTTCTGCCAATTTGCATCTCGCTTGAGCTATGGAGATCTTTGCAATGTACAAGAGTTCGATCCCCGGCTGGCCAGGGAGCAACCCACTTGGCGCAGCAGACCTCTCCTGTCTCGCCCGCTGCTCCCCTCAGCAGTGTATTTCTGTCTTCTGCCTGTTCTGTTCCCCACTCGGTCTCTAGTGAATCCTGTTACACACACACCCACTGCCCTGCATCTCTGGCCTGTACTCCAGCTCTTGTATGCATAAATAATAAATCTTTTAAAAAAAAAAAAGAAAGCACGGGAACAGGCATAACCACTGTTTTCAGATTGTCTTGAATGTTCAAAAGGGAATAAATTTGTCTTGAATGCTCAATGGGAATGAATAGGTTGATAAGTGGTGAAGAGTGTAATAAGTAGAGATTGAAGTGAAGGGTCACTCCTTTGAAATGCAAGGATGGGGGCACATTTCAGACCTTAGGAATTGTCTCTTCGGAGGAAAAGGATGAAGACCTCTGTGCTTGGATCTAGGAGATGAAGAAGAATGACTCAAGTGAATAGTCATTGAACGCTTGTAAGCCTAAGGCCAAGCCTTGTTTATTCATTATCTCATCTAATCTGCAATACAATCATAGTGTAACAGGGTGGTCCCCAGCAAAGGGGGTGGTTCCAGGTTTCCTGCCCCACCCAAGAGAAGGGTGGAGCTGAGAGAGAGAGAGAAGCTGCAGAGGAGACTGAGGAAGGGGGAAGCAGGATGGAGAGCAAGAAGGAGACTTGGAGGAGGCACACGGAGCCTAGAGACACATGAAGAAATTGCGCTTGCCTTTTGGTCGTGGACTGGGTGACACAGATGCGGGTGAGAGACCCGTGGGGAGGTGACAATGGCAGTTTTTGTTTTGATTTTCAATTTGCTCTTTTCCATCCAGACTTGTCTGGTTGTTTCTGATCCTTTTCTCTGGGTCCCCCCTGGAAGATGCTTTAGACTTGTGGCAGGCTTTGGGGCCTTGCTCTGGGCCAGTCCCATTTGGATGGACTTTTACCCACGAGGGAATGGATAACTTTGGGTGCTTGATTTAGAAACTATATTCTTTGTCTTTTCTGTATTGTTTCCTAATTGTAGTAAAGTTCCTTCCCATTAAAGTCTCATATGTTTTGTGTTGATGCAGCGGATGGCAGAACCTCTTTAGATCAGACAGGTTTGCTGGGTCTGGGTTGCCCCTCTCCCTGTCCTGTAACAATAGGGGTGAGTACTATAACCCCCACTTTACATTTTAGGAAACTGAGATACTGGAGGTTAAGCGACTCTCCTAAGGTTTTAAGAAGCTAACTGAATTTTTTTTTTGAAGATTTATTTATTTATGCATACAAGAGCTGGGGTACAGGCCAGAGGGGTGAGGGGTGAGAGGATTCACCAGAGACAGAGTGGGGAACAGAACAGGCAGACTGACCAAAATACACGGCTGAGGGGAGCAGTGGGCAAGACAGGAGAGGTCTGCCGTGCCATGTGGGTTGCTCTTTGCGGATTGCTTTGTAGTGTGGTGCTTAAACCTTTGCACCACCAGGGAGGCCCTCTTTTTGGAGAGTGTTTTGGAAAAAAAAACTCCGGTGGAAAAAGTGAGGCAAGTTAGGCTTTTGAGGTAGGCAGGACGTTATGATGACCTGGAATGGGGTGGAAAATAGATGCCACGTGGTTAATTTTGGGATATTTACATAGCAGAATCAACAGATTTCTTTTTTTTTTTTTTTAAGATTTATTTATTTACTTTATTTATTTATACAAGCACTGGGTACAGTCAGAAGCGCGGGAGGGTGAGAGAATTCACCAGAGCCAGAGAGGGGAGCAGAGCAGGAAGAAGGACCGAAGCACACTGCTGAGGGGAGCAGCGGGCGGCAGGAGAGGTCTGCGCGCCATGTGGGACCCTCCTCCGGTGGTCGGGGAGCAGCCGGGGATTGAACTGGCGCTGCAGAGGCTGCGGGCAGCTTCACAACCCAGCGCTCAACCACTGCGCCACCGGGGAGGCCCCTCAACAGATTTCTTGATGGATAAATGTTTGGGGTGAGGGAAAAGAAGGGTACCAGGATGACTTTGACATGTTGGGTTAAACAACTCTGAATAGTTGGTAGTGCCAATTATGAAGGGAATGTTGAGAGGAAAAGGGTTGACCTCTGGAGAATCAGTTCATTTTTGGACATATTAGAAATAACTTTACATGTTCTCTCCCTCATTAATCTCAGTTCTAATGTTAGAGCCCATGATAAAACTTGCTTTTGTAAATATCCCTTCTCTCTCTCTCCTCCTTCCCAACCAGCAAGGAGTCACTCAGAAATGTTGCTTTAAATAAGAAATTAAAATAAAATGTTTCCCAAAAAAAAACCTGCAGAGACTCCAAGGCCTCCTACTCAAGTTCTATTAGAATTCAACAGATCTCAGGCCTCCCCAGTGGCGCAGCAGTTGAGCGCTAGGTTGCGAAGCTGCCCGCAGCCTCTGAAGTGCCGGTTCGATCCCTGGCTGCTCCCTGGCCACCGGAGGAGGTCCCACATGGCCCACAGACCCCTCCTGCCGGCCACTGCTCCCCTCAGCAGTGTACTTCGTCAGTCTGCCTGCTCTGCTCTCTGCTTTGACTCTGGTGAATGCTCTCACCCTCCCGCGCTTCTGACTGTACCCAATGCTTGTATAAAAAATAAATTAAAAAAAAAGAATTCAGCAGATCTCATCCAAATTATATACAGAAATATGAAATTTACACTTAATGAAGAAATTCCAGAATTTACCTGCTCCCTTGTCTTTACAGTATCCACCTCTACTTTGCTTATCTAGAGTCTTCTACTTTTCACTAATACTGTGTCACTAGGTTACAGAGGAGATATACTCACATGATTAGCTCTAACCACAGGGAAATACACTTCTTTGAGAACTGAGACTACATTTAATTTGTTTTGTATTTCCAGCAATTATGATATCTAATTTAATAAAAATAGGGCAGAAGTTCTGGAAAATGCAGCTGGGTTCCTGGTAATACCTCCATCGAGCAGTTCCTGAAATTTTCACTTAATCATGGAGTTAATTATCTTAGAATCCTCTCAGTTGTCAACTGTTGCTTGTTTACTCTTCTTTTCCCCTTGATACTGATTATCCAAATATCCAGTATCAGTGTTTAAGTCCATTTTACAAATTATACATCCCAATGCAACAGCTTCAGAGCTAGTTACAGTGGAACAGCATTTGCAGATCCCAATAATGCTCTTAGCTGCAGCTGCTAATTTAATTCCCAGATGGAAAAATTGAATTCTTTTCATTTAGCTGTGCTGTGTTTTTGGACATATGTTGAAAAATAATCACTATCTTTTTCTAATGCTTATATAAGGGACTTCACTACCGATACAATTTTACTTGTACTTAAGCTAAATATTTTAAGACTGTTTCCTCACATTTGTTATCTTTTTAATGCATTTGAGTTGAATGGGCTCTTGCAAGTAGGTACAAAAAAATCAAGGTAATGAAAAATTTTTGTTTGAAAAGTATATGTTTAAATCTAGTTCTTTTATATTCCCATATAACATTTGCAAATTGCTTGCTTATTAAAACAATTGACTAAATTACCAGCCCTGATCACAAGGATAATACAGATCCTCTGTACTCTGCTTGGTTACTTTTGATAATTACACATCCACTACAAATTCTTGGAGATTAGAAACTATTTTGAACCTACCTTTATAGCTCTGCTTCTTCCTTTCCCACTTAGAAAATTGTATTGCATAAAGTCGGTACTAGTTTCATTTTTGATGATTTAGTATTTGTTTTGGTACTTAAAAGAATATAAAACTAAATATTGAATGCTTTTTTTCCCGCGAAACAGGTATATAAGAATTATTATTTACAAATGAATAGATACTAAAAAATAGAGAAGTACATAGTTGTATAATTTAACTATGAGAAATAGGAGTTTGATGTTTTATTGAGAATGAATATCTTAAATAGAACCAGGATTTGACAAGATACTGTCACAATTTAATTCCTAATTATATGGATAATTTTATCTCCTCTGGGCAGAAGGGGGACCAGAATTTAAGCATTATTGATAGTCATAATATTTAGAGTGTAGCCTGTCACTCAAATTATAAAAGCATTTCTGAGAGAGAAGATGTTCTGAAATTGTTTTTTGAAAACTTGTTCTGGTAGTGGCAACCATGATGAATTTTAGAATCTAAGGAAACTGAAAAATCACAATATAGTTGTGTAGCTTAATCTTTTACTGTGCTATTTATCAGTAACAATAAAAGTGTTTTTATTTTTTTTTTAAAGATTTATTTATTTATAAATAAATAAATTTTCTGACAGCACTGGGTACTGTCAGAAGTGCGGGAGGGTGAGGGAATTCACCAGAGCCAGAGCAGGGAACAGAACAGACAGACTGATGAAATACACTGCTGAGGGGAGCAGTGGGCGTGGCAGGAGAGGTCTGCGTGCCATGTGGGACCCTCACCGGCAGCCGGGGAACGAACTGGCACTGCAGAGGCAGCGGGCAGCCTCGCAGCCCATTGCTCAACCGCTGCGCCACCAAGGGAGGCCCCACAAAAGTGTATTTATTTATTTTTTTTTAAAGGTTTATTTATTTATCTATCTATCTATCTATCTATCTATCTATCTATCTATCTATCTATCTATTTATTTATCTATTTATTTATTTATTTATACAAGCACTGGGTACAGTCAGAAGTGCGGGAGGGTGAGAGAATTCACCAGAGCCAGAGAGGGGAACAGAGCAGGCAGAAGGACCGAGGTACACTGCTGAGGGGAGCAGCGGGCGGCAGGAGAGGTCTGCGTGCCATGCGGGACCCTCCTCCGGTGGCCGGGGAGCAGCCAGGGATCTAACCGGCGCTGCAGAGGCTGCGGGCAGCTTCGCAACCCAGCGCTCAACCACTGCGCCACCGGGGAGGCCCCACAAAAGTGTTTTTAAATTTAATTTTTTTTCTTTTACTTTTATAAGGAATTAAAGATCTGATTTTGCTATGTGGCCGGATCTTCTTACTGCTTGCTCTTCTTACTTTAATTATTTCTGTGACTACCTCATGGCTTAACTCATCTAAATCTTCCCAAGTTTATCTGACAGGTAAGTTTATTGTGTATGCTACCTTTTTATACTTTTAAAATTTCCTTCCTTTATTCTAAAATTTTGTATGGGAAGAATCATTTTACCTTAAATTTGTGCTGTATAATTTTAAGGTGATTATTACATTTTTAGTCGTGATTTTTGAATGAATTATAATTTCAGTATTTTTGTGAGAGATTATACATTTATTCTTACATATACATTTGAAACCATATTGTTTCTAAGTTGTTGGTAGTTTGCATTTTAAGTCCTCTGTGTTTGTGCTTAACTATTCTACAAATGGTAAATGTTTCTACCATTAAGTTCTAAAGGTTTTTCATAATAATTTATTTTTCATTCTATTTTGTCAGTTTTTATTTACACATTTATGTCTTATGTATAGTTAAATGGCCTTAATTTTAGGCAACCATGCTTGTTGTTTTTTGCTTTTTCAATAAGTAAATGTTTGTCATTATTAGGAGCCTTGTAAAACAATATTGTAGTTTACCTCAGACCAGATGAATCCTACAACTAATACCTACATTCTAATATCTTAGTAGAAGGAATTTTGCCAACAGCAAATTGCATGTTTTGTTGTTTATTTAAATAAATTTAAGTAAAAGGAAAATGAACATTATTTAAGTTACAGGACTATCAAATTAACTATGTGTAAAATCATATTCCTAAAAGGCCTTACTGTTCAACCTGAATATAGAAGATAATGTAGCCCTCCCAGTCTTAGATTTTAGTGTCTCCCAATCTTATATTTTGGAAATTCTGTCTTTCTTCTTTGTATTAAATGCATTTTGCTCTAAGGAGGATATTTGCTGCATACGTTAAACTATCTCATTTCTTACAAATAAGGGAAACATGCGCTTATTTGTATATTGTTGTACTTTCATGTTGGGGTGTAAGTCATTTTGGTACATTTATGGGTTGGTAATACCACTGGAGGCTAAAACTAGTAAGAATTAAGAGTATGTTTAGTACCTAAAGTCAGATTTTCTTCAAATGAGTAAAATATCAACTTGCTCATACTTTTTTCCCTACTGTTACTAAAATATAAGATTTATTAAAATATAAGAGTTTAAATGAATACAGATTCATTTCAAACTTTAATTCTTTTTTTGTAAAATTTTGTAAAATTAAGTCTATCAAAAGTTCAGAAGTAATCAGTTCTCAGTTTTAAGATTTAAGCCCACCAGTTCCCTTGCTATTGATTTACTTGAAAACCATATTCTCTGACTCAAGAGTTTGAAAGGAGCCTTAAGATAACTGTGACTGATCACATACCATGTTAGTGGCCAACTTGAACCTTCTGATAGCCTCTCTGTTTTACTACCCTAAATAAATTTGAGGAAGTATTTACTGCTATGAGATAAAGTTGTTGACAGAAAGAGATGCTCCTGTTTAAAGAGCTGCACAGTTTAAAGGAGATAATTTCTCAAGAGATAAGTAATTCCTCCAGGGAATACAGTTAAATGAACTTAAATTTATTGTATTCGAATAAAGACCCATATCACAGCAGCATTCTTTTCTCTTGACATTCAGTGGATAATAACCTAATATTGTTTCAGTCACTATAGGAGTTGCCAAGCACACTCCACTTTTGGGATCTAGGCATGTTGCTTTCATTATCAAGTCTAAGGTGAATGAAATAACACTCCTCATGCCTGCAAAGCAGTGTTCCACACTTCATGTGCAGTAGTGGATTTCCATGTTACATTGTGGAGCTGTTGAAGCCCTGGACTTCAACATACAACAATCACATGGAGCTTCCTTAGCAAAACATACAATATCATACAATATTCATACATGTCAGAGGATTTTTGTTTCAGAACAGACCTTTTGTTACAGATTTTTCTTGTGGGTATCTTTATTTCATCTGTCTACATGTATCTAGTTTTTATTATTTGAAAAATAGAACCAGTTTTTTGGTATTAAGATCTACAAATTTAGAGAAAAGAGCATTCTGTTTTTTTCTGTTACTTGGGAATTAAAAAGCATTTTTGTTTTGATGTCTTAGAAGAAGAAGAGAAGAATGAGAAAAGGCAAAAACTTGTGAGAAAAAAACAGCAAGAGGCACAGGGTGAAAAGGTAAAGAATTATTTTTAAAGACAGAAAAGAAAATAGCTGTGGATTTTTAGCTAAATATTAAACCCTTTTCAAAGTCCTAGGTGTTCATATTTTGACATCTGTCACTGTTTTTCTAGTGAACAGATTATTCCTTTTTAAGTAGACAAAGACTAAACACATCAAAAGAATCAGTCTGTCTTTTTGTTCAGAATGAGAGAGGTAGTGACTACATTTTTAACCATGCTGACTTGTATTTACTACCATTGAAAGTGTCCTTGCAACATCTTTTTTAAGAAGCTCTCATAATTTGAATTTCTAAAATTCCCATGGAAGTAGATTACTTTCAGAGCCTTGCTAATTAGTAAGCTATAATTTTATCTGTATTCCATTTGTATGTTAATAAGCATCTGTATTTATTTTTTTCCTTTAAGGTTTGTTTATTTAACTAATTATTTGACTTTATTATTTATGCATACAAAAACTGGGGATACGGGCCAGAGATGTGGGGGGTGAGAGGATTCACCAGAGACAGAGTGGGGAACAGAACATGCAGACTGACTGAAATACACTGCTGAGGGGAGCAGCGGGCGAGTCAGGAGAGGTATGCTGCACATGTGGGTAGCTCCCTGGCCGGGGGTCGAACTTGTGCTGCAGCGGCTGAGGACAGCCTCATAGTTTGCATCTTTTTTTTTAAAAGATTTATTTATTTATTTATCTGCCCATTTATTTATTTATTTGTTTGTTTGTTTATTTATTTATTTATACAAGCACTGGGTACAGTCAGAAGCGTGGGAGGGTGAGATAATTCACCAGAGCCAGAGCGGGGAGCAGAGCAGGCAGAAGGACCGAAGTACACTGCTGAGGGGAGCAGCGGGTGGCAGGAGAGGTCTGCACGCCATATGGGACCATGTGGGACACTCCTCCGGTGGCCGGGGAGCAGCTGGGTATCGAACCGGCACTGCAGAGGCTGCGGGCAGCTTCTCAACCCAGCGCTCAACCACTGCGCCACTGGGGAGGCCCCATAGTTTGCGTCTTAACCCCTTGCGCCACCAGCCACCAGGGAGGCCCCAGCATCTATATTTCTTTCTTTTTTTTTTAAAGATTTATTTATTTATTCATACAAGCACTGGGTACAGTCAGAAGCGCGGGAGGGTGAGAGAATTCACCAGAGCCAGAGCAGAGAGCAGAGTGACGAAGTACACTGCTGAGGGGAGCAGCAGGCGGCAGGAGAGGTCTGCGTGCCATGTGGGACCCTCACCCGGCAGCCGGGGATCGAACTGGTGCTGCTGAGGCTGCATGCAGCAGCTTCGCAGCCCAGCGTTCAACTGCTGCGCCACCAGGGGAGGCCCCCAACATCTATAATTCTTAAGGGATATAAAGGTGGGGTTCTTTTGATTGGCAAATGTCTAAAAACTTTATCTGTGTGTTCTCTTCTTTGGCCTTTTGGCCAAAGGAAAATTAATAGATCAGTATCTCATAGTATCGTCTTTGTATGTGGTGAAATGCCTGGTCTATGCAGAGGTATGCCTAATGATACATACAATTTTTGAATCTTTACATTCCAAAAATGTGATTTTTTTTTTTTTCCCTCCTCTCGCCCTTGATAGTTTGATTTGGTATGAAATTAGTTTGAAAATCATTAGAGTTTTGAAATATACCATTATCCTCAAAATTCCAGTATGATTTTGTAATATCTGATTCCATTTTTATCCTTGAGCTATTATTGCTGTTTATCAGTTTTGTACCCCTTTCTAGAAACTTTTATGATCTTTATCCTTTGTGTTGTAAAATTTCACTGTTATTATTTGGTGTGGCTCTTTGTTTACTGTGAAGGGAATCCAGTATGTTAGATATGTCCTTTAGCTCTGAAAAATTTTCTTAAGTTATTTTTTGGATAATTTCCTCTCTGGTCCTTTTTCTTTTTGAAGCTCCCATGAAGTGAATTTTTTTTTAAAAGATTTATTTGTTATTTATTTATGCATGCAAGAACTGGGGTGTAGGCCAGACGTGTGGGGTGAGGGGTGTGGGGTGAGAGGATTCACCAGAGACAGAGTGGAGAGGAGAGGGGAGCAGGAGAGGTCTGCTGTGCCATGTGGGTTCGCTTTCTGACTGGGGATCGAACTCATACTACAGTGGCTGGTGATAACTTGATAGCACTGAGACTTTAACTTCTGCACCAGGGAGGCCCAAATCTGAGAACTATTAATGCGTAGTAACAACACATTTTTTTTTTTTAACAGGCCAGCAGATACATAGAGAATGTTTTAAAACCACACCAGGAAATGAAGTTGAGAAAACTGGAAGAGCGCTTTTACCAGATGACTGGTGAAACCTGGAAGTTAAGCAGTGGCCATAAACTTGGGGTTAGAAAATATTCTCATTTTATATTTTGGGTTATGCTATTAAGTTTCCATTTAACATGTACTGGTTTTTAAAAATTTCAAATTATGTTTTTTTTTTTTTTTTAAGATTTATTTATTTATACAAGCACTGGGTACAATCAGAAGTGCAGGAGGGTGAGAAAATTCACCAGAGCAGGGAGCAGAACAGTCAGAAGGACCTAAGTACACTGCTGAGGGGAGCAGTGGGCGTGGCAGGAGAGGTCTGCGCGCCATGTGTGACCCTCACTGGTGGCCGGGGATGGAACCAGCGCTGCAGAGGCTTAGGAATCTAGTGATAAAATTGTTTATCAGTTATCACTCAGCATTTTTGTGTGTCAAATGGTTAAGTAGTGTTTTGGTGCTGAAAGAATGTTTAACTTGGATTATTGAAAAGCTCTAACATTAGGTAGCCTAAAGCAAACTGTTGACTAAATCACTGTGTTTTTATGAGGGAATTCAGATATTCCCAAGTTATAAGCTCACATTCATTATGTTTAGTTTTTAATAAATAATATGATAAATAATAGTTGTGATGATTTCTGGAATAAAAAAATTCCTTTGCCTCCTAAAGTGACTAAGTCAAATGGAAGATCAAAGTCTGATTTTAAGAACTAAAATATATTTATGTATAACAGGATGCTGTGGCCACATTCAGCTATTGCATTTTAGCAACATCAAATACATAAACACATTTATACATATATATGTTTCTATTCACGCCTTTTAATGCATATTCTCTTGCACTGTCTTTTTTTTTTTTTTTTTAAAGATTTGTTTATTTATACAAGAACTGGGTTACAGGTACAGGTCAGAGGCACCGGAGGGTGAGAGAATTCACCAGTGACAGAGCGGGGAGCAGAACAGGCAAACTGACTGAAATACACTACTGAAGGGAGCAGCGGGTGAGGCAGGAGAGGTCTGCCATGCCATGTGGATTTCTCCCTCGCCTGCCAGGAATTGAACCTGTGCTGCAGAGGCTGCAGACAGCTTCACAGCGCAGCGCTCAACCCGCTGCACCACCGGGGAGGCCCTGCCTTGCTTTCTTTACTGAAAGAAGGAAAGGATATCCTAGTGAAAAATTTGGGAGTCAATCAAAAATAGAATGATCTTTCTCAGCCTCTTACCTTTCAAAGGATATCATGGAGCTACATAACAGTAGTTTTCACAAGTGATTAAGTTCCATGTTCTTTATGTTTTTTTTTTTTTTAATAGAGGCATGCTTTATTTATTTATTTATTTATTTTATTTGTTTGTTTGTTTTGTTTATACATGCACTAGGTACAGTCAGAAGCACAGGAGGGTGAGAGAATTCACCAGAGCCAGAGCAGGGAGCAGAACAGGCAGAAGGACCTAAGTACACTGCTGAGGGGAGTAGTGGGCGGCAGGAGGAGGTCCCACACGCCATGTGGGACCCTCCTCCGGAGGCCGGGGAGCAGCCGGGGATCGAACCGGCATCGCAGAGGCTGCGGGCAGCTTCGCAACCCGGCGCTCAACCGCTGCGCCACCGGGGAGGCCCAAAGTTCCATGTTCTTTTGACTAAGGAGATGATACTTTAAGTTTTTGGGTCTAAGTACGACTTTAAATTTTTTTTTTTTTTACTGAAATGCTATTAGGGTTAAAAAGGTAACTACTGTGAATAGAAAAAGTCAAAAGAGAGCCTCTCTTTAGAAATTCTCTGTTGTTTTTTGATCAGGGTAATGAAGATTTGGAAACTGGAAATAAGACATCTTTAGAAACATCAAACAGAGAAGCAGAGAAGAGACGGAACTTGCCTAAGCCTTTAACCAAAGTTTCACCATCTGCTGAACAGCCTAGGCAGAAAGAGGTTCATTACTTACTACCTACTTCTTGAACTGTATCTCTGTGCAGTAGGGATATTGTTCTGTGGGTTAGGTAGTGTACTGAGTGAACATGATTACTGGCTTTTAATTCAGTTGGTGTTTTCTCATTACCTTTTAAAGTGATCAGCTTCATTTAGAATCACTTTTCCTGTTTTAATAGTATTTTTTTTTTTAAGTGTATTTTTTTTGTTTTGTTTGTTTTTGTTTTTTTATTTATTTATTTGTTTGTTTTGTTTATACAAGCACTGGGTACAGTCAGAAGCGCGGGAGGGTGAGAGAATTCACCAGAGCCAGAGTGGGGAGCAGAGCAGGCAGAAGGACCGAAGTACACTGCTGAGGGGAGCAGCGGGCGGCAGGAGAGGTCTGCGCGCCATGCGGGACCCTCCTCCGGTGGCCGGGGAGCAGCCGGGGATCGAACCGGCGCCGCAGAGGCCGCGGGCAGCTTCGCAACCCAGCGCTCAACCGCTGCGCCACCGGGGAGGCCCTGTTTTAATAGTATTAATGTTCTAAACCAAACTTAGAAGGAAGCTATGAGATAAATGATAATATATTTAGATTTTTAGTTCTTTTTAAGGATTTAATTTCATTAAGTAAAAATGAAAGGAATGTTTACTAAGGGAAACTTCTATGGGTAACTAAGACACGATTAAGCCATGTTTAGTGAATAGTTAATGATATGAGTGTGTAATTTTTCTCAGTGGTCTTTCTAGGGAAGGAATAAGCAACAGGTTTATTATCGTTTTCTTTCAAATCTTTAATCCTTAAATTGACTCTGATTTGGATTTAGAAAATATTGGAAGTAACAAATCTATTTTTGCTAACTCTTACAGAAAGCTGGTAGACTGTTTTCTAAAAGTAGTTTCTAATATATTGCTTCTCAGTCTGTTTCCCTGTCACTTAATGGAGCTTGAGGGTGTAAATCAGGTCACTGAATTATTTCTAACACTTCAGAAGGATCTAGTTAACTGTGTAGGGCTATATAAAAATTCAAATTTGATTTTTCTTAATAACCTGAATGATCTTTTGTGGTTATGGCACATTTTGTTAACTGTCATGTGCTTTTGATACCAAAGAAAAGTGATTTTGATTTACTTAATAAATTCAGTTAATTTTAAAATGATAAAATGTTATAAAACATGGAGGACATGGTTTTAAATTATAAAAAAAAAAAATCCCTGAAATTCAAATTGTTCCTAACAACTGTTTTAGTGAGAGAGAGTGGTCTGAACATGCAGTTTTAGGTAAATAAACCAGAAAAGCAAATGTGAATAAATGAGGAAGGCAACCAAAGATTTTGAATGGGTGTTTAACCACCCTTCTAGAAGTGCCGGTGAAGAAAAATATCCCCTCATCTTCAAATGTGTATATGTGTAAGAGTCTAAATAACTTTGGGGGCTTATTAAACATATTAATTCATGTTAATATTTAATGTTTTTAAATGGTACATTTTTATATACTGTGTTGTGTTGGGTCATCATAAAAATTCTTCAATTGTACATATGCTGATAGCTTCATCTCAAATCCTATTTTTATGATCTATTGAAAGTACTGAAATGTTTACCCAAAACTGTTTATAACTGAACCCCCATTCTCATTGTAAACTTTCTATCAATGCATACTTTTAACAAAGTTTCTTTAAGCTTAGCTGTTTCTGAATTCTTCTTGTTGAGATTCTTTTTTTCTTCAAAATATTTACATTCTTATTATATATTTTTTTAGGTTCTTGATTTACCTGCAGAACCTCCTGACTCAGCTGAAGAAGTGAGCTTATTTTCTCTCTGAAGAAGAAATATATTTTCTCTTTTCTTTAACATGAAGTCAGTATTATCTAAATTTGAATTTAGAAAGAAAAGATAGCATAGATGTTGATAGGATTGTACCGTACTTACTGTCTCCTGAGCTTGGAGTGTAGGGCCTTCCTACTGTAGTCAGGAGAGATGGGGGCATGGGCTTTTCCAAACTTCAGGTCAGTACATGAGTTACTTCTTAAAAGCAAACTAGGCAGATAACTTTAAATTGCAGTTCTCCCCTAAAAAAAGAAAATGAAGAACACAGCTTCTTTGTTAAATGTTTTAAGGATGGTTTGCGGTTTTGGAGGTAGGACCAGGCTGAGCCCCCATTCTTTATTGAGCTGTATTCTTCCTGCTGTTGCCTTAGCTTAGTTTCAGACATGTCCACAGGGAACATGTGTCTTTATTTTTAAAGACTTACTGTATTCAAGAGCTGTGGTGTAGGCCATATGTGTGGTGGTGGGGTGTGTGTGTGTGAGAAGATTCACCAGCGACAGAGTGGGAAAGAAAACAGACAGATTGACTGAAATACACTGCTGAGGAGCGCAGCAGGCGAAACAGGAGAGATCTGCTGTGCCATGTAGGCCAGCTCTCTGGTTGGGGATTGAACTTGTGCTGCAGTGACTGCAGTAGCTTGATAGTGCTGAGACTTAACCACTTGTGCCACCAGGGAGGCCTGAAACGTGTCTTTAAAGCCATTACATCATTGAGGGAAAGGAGAGATACTGGTGGTTTTCATTTCTTAGGACTTTCCTAGGAAACTGTTTTTGAGGCAGCCATAAAAGCAACTGGGAGAGTGTCATTTTTGTCAGTACATTTGCAACATTTAAGTGTAGGATTTTGGACATCTGAGGGAAAAAAGACATACAAAAAATAGAGACAGTAAAGTGTGCAATCCAAATACTAAACCCCAAAGAGAAACATTTTATTTTTCACATTTTATTTAAATTTTATTTTTTATATTCCCCATACAATTACAACCCCCTTATTTTGACTCCAAGCCCTCCTTTCCCTGCCCCCCGCCCCCCATAGAGTATCTCTGGTTCATAGTTGTTTGTTGATTTTGATTTTTTCTTTCTTATAGTTATTATTTTTTCTGGTCCCTTATTTAAGTTTTCTAGGTTCCTGCTATGAGTGAGACCATCCGGTATTTTTCTTTTTCTTTCTGTCTTATTTCACTGAGCATGATCCCTTCTAGCTCCATCCATGTTGCTGCAAATTGCATGTGTTTATCTTTTTTGAATGCTGAGTAATATTCCATAGTGTATATGTACCACATCTTCTTGATCCAGTCATCTATTTTTGGGCATTTGGGTTGTTTCCAAAGCTTAGCTATTGTAAACAGTGCTGCTATAAACATAGGGGTGCAGGTGTTCTTTGGAATTGATGTTTCTGAGTCCTTTGGGTAAATACCTAGGAGTGGAATTGCTGGATCATATGGAAGCTCTATGTTTAGTAGGTCCAGAAATCTCCACACAGCTCTCCATAGTGTTTGGACCAGTTTGCACTCCCACCAACAGTGCAGAAGAGTTCCTTTTTCTCCACACCCTCGCCAACATTTGTTGTTGCTAGTTTTTTTAACATGTGCCATTCTCACTGGTGTAAGATGGTATCTCATGGTAGTTTTGATTTGCATTTCCCTGATTACAAGTGATGTTGAACATTTTTTCATATGCCTGTTGGCTATTTGCATGTCCTCTGCAGAGAAGTTTCTTTTTAGCTCTTCTGCCCATTTTTGGACTGGATTATTTTCTTTGTTTTTGTTGAGTCTTATCAGCTTTTTGTAGATTTTTGTGATCAGTCCTTTATCATTAGTGTTGTGTGCAAAAATGTTCTCCCAGTCCGTGGGGTTAAGAGAAACATTTTAAAAAACAAAGTTCTAGGGCCGCCCTAGTGGTGGAAAGGGTTAAGTCTCAGCATTATGAAGGGATGGGCAGTCACTGCAGCCAGAGAGTTAACCCACATGATGCAGCAGGGGAGCAGTGTATTACAGTAGATCTGCCTGTTCTGCTCCCCACTCTGTCTCTGGTAAATCCTCTCACCCCACCGCCCCGTACCTCTGGTCTACTCCCCAGCTCTTGTATGCATAAAATAGTCTTTTTTTAAAAAAAAGCTTCTAATTCCTCCTTTATACTAGACAAATTCATGCCTGTGATATGTCTGTCCTGATACTTTTATATCTACTTCTAAATTCTCACTTCTCATCAAATGCTGAGTTGGTTTCCATGACAACCATTTATAATACTGTAATGATTAAATATAGCTCAGGTTTATTCTGGCTTTGAAGCACATGACATTATTCCTATAGAAATACAGTCTCACTGAAGGTCCACTGATTATAGCCATCCATGTGAGTGATTCTTTTGAAATTGTACCTCTTTATGATTACAGTGTTTTTCTTCAGAATCTTCACAATGTCATGTCTGTAGCCCTAAAAAAGGTTAAGAAAGCTCTGTTACAGGGGCAGTTGCTATTGCTTTCCCGTTTATAAGTTATGCTTATTCCATTTTTTTTTCCCTCTATCCTGTTCCGTTATTTGATGTTCTGCGTTATACTCACTCAAGTATGTGCCAGAAAAGTGGAATTTTAGAGCTGAGTGAAATAAATTTTATTCCATCTTCTCACTTGGTGTTGAAGCCATAGGAAGACTTGTCCAAGTAGCTGTTGCTTTAGCCAGAACACTTTCCTTATTCACTTTATAAGCATTACTATGCCCATTTTCTCCTCCCTGTTCTAGTTTTCTCTGATTTTTGGTCCTCTGTTCTTAAATTTTAGCTTTATAAAGTCAACAGTTATGTAACCAGAAAATCATATATAAAATTTATGTAGCATAATATGTTAATAGGTATAAGCAACTTTTAAGTGTGAAGTTTTATTAAGAAAATCACTAATGCATAGTTGATAATACTGACTTTTATAATGTATTTTATAGTAATCAAGAAAAGCTAACAAATACTGAAATATTTTGATTATCAGAATCACTAGACAGAGTATTTATACTATGCAGTTGCTACTGCTCAGAGAGTTCTAAGAATTTAATTCAAACAGTCTTAATTCTGCACTAACCATCCACAGTTGAGTGACTTCAGATGTCCCATTCCATCATTCAGTAGTTGTATTCTCATTGAAATAAATCATGTTATCCTGCTCTTAACCTAATGACCTGTTTCTGGGCAGTTGGCCTAGTCCCTCTAGACTTTTCTGCCTCCCTTTGCCCTTCTAATGTAACCCATTTTTTCAGAATAAAGCATGGAATGCTATTTTCATAAAAGTTAAAAACAAGACCAGGGCCTACTCCAATCTTGTCTCATTTTCTTGGATGATTTGCATGGTATAGACTGGTGCACAGACTATAACAGAGTGGACAGCTTTTCATTCCTTCAATCTCGTGTCTGTCTTGTCCATAGACTTGACCAAGGTGGCGCTGGGTCTTGGCTTGGTAGATTACCCTGCAGTCTGAGTGTCAGAGGCGTTTAGTCTCTGATGTCTTGCTGTCTTCTCCTCACTGATCTCTGTAGTCTGTAGGAAGATGGTTTTGTTTCAGAGGAATTATTTCTATGTTTGGAGTGAATCTTGTTCTTCCTTTATGATGATCTGTTATTTTCATAGCCAAATTTCTACAGAGACTCCATGTAAGTTTTTAATGATCGGATATTTCATAGGAGTAGGAACTTCGGAATTGGAATTCTTACCTGAACATTTTTTTTTCCTTCAGGTAGTTACTGTTGCTCTCCGATGCCCAAATGGGAATGTCATGAAGAAAAGGTTTTTTAAGTCTTGCAGTTCACAGGTGAGAAGATTCATAGTCTGAGAAACATTTTTGTTGAGTTTGGAAATAGTTTAATCCCTTGCAGTGGGGGAGATAGTATCACTCTGCTACTCCCATCAGACTAGAAGAAAGAGCATTTATATGTGTACACTGCAGAAATTTGGATAATTAGGCATGCTGGACTGTTTTGAATTGTGTTTTCTACATTCAAAAATTTTTTGGTTCTCCTTTACCTATTCTTTTTAAATTTTTGCTTTGTTTTTATTGCTTTTCACAGCTTGGTGGGTAAGAGGCTTTTAAGTCTTTAGAAAACAGCCAATATTAGTTTTGTTCCCATTATCCTTGATGGTTAACCTAAACCCCATTTTTATATATAATTTTCAGGCCATTCTTTAGGGTTTGTTTCCTTTTATCCTAAGAGAGTTTTTCCCTTTAAAAATGATAACTCTGTTCATTAGCAATCTCTTGGAAAATAGAAAACTAGAACAAAATTTGATCTGCCACCTGCACATTAATGTTTTTGTGTATTTCTACTTTAAGTGCATTTTAAAATTTACTTATATGTGCATTGCATTAAAAATTTGTATATGTTGAAAAATGTTAATTGCAGATTCATGTTGATTCTTTATTTTTATTGATGTAACAATATATTGCAACATTATGTATTTAATAGACCAAGTTTCTGTCCTGATTGTTGCATTTAACTTCTATGACAAGAATGTTGTAAACCATAGTGGGAAATATGGATTTGACTACATAAAAATTAAAAATTCTGTAAAGACGTTCTTAAAACATTTTTGAAAAATATTGTACTATCTTTGTATGATAGGGTAATTTTTTAATGAGCTTATGCAAATCAAGGAAAAGCAAAGCTTTGTAGGATGGCAGATTTTTAAAAAAACATGAGGTATTTCAATTTTTCTAAAAAAGATACAATTGGTTTACAACAAAGTATGAAGAATTTCTTAAAGACTACCAAACAGTAAAAACGTGAAAAAAATGTTTGATGTATTTAGAAGTCCAAACTAAAAATGGGACCCTATTTTTTATCAATCAGTTTGTAAAAGATCTAAAAGTATAGTACCCAGTTTTGGTCAGTGTGTGGGGAAAACAGGGATTCTCATTAATTGTTCATGTGAGTATGTTCCTGTGGGATAGATTACCTGTATATATATTTTTTAATAGAATATATTTTTTGGTCTAGTAATTTATGAGAATTTGTTCTGAAGAAATGACAAATGATCAAAGGTACCAGTGTATTAATATAGGGACTGGTTAATATTGGAAAATTATGGGACTTTTTATGACATTGAAGGACATTTATTACATGGAATATTATAGGTTCTTAGAAGGTGGTTAGCAGTAGAGATAGGGATTACTGATGATACTCCAACTTCTCCCCAGAACATTCCATTATCCATCATTCTTCTTAAAACAAAAAATGATCCTTAGGCAGACATTGTTTTTTGGCAACCATAAGTGGAAATTTTGACAGTTACTGTGGAATATTCATGATTAGGAAATGTTATAAATTTATAGGGATGGTCTGTTGAAAACCAGGCTATGAGGAGTCAGAGTATTGTGAAAAATTTCCTGAGTGATTATGAAATGGACTGTTGGCTTTTATTTTGCTCTAAAACTTTTCACCAAATACTAACCCTTTGTTTTCAACCCTTTTAATTGAAAAACCTTTCCATTCTCTATGGTTGGGATTTTCTGATTGTTAAATAGCTATCTCTGCTATCTGTGCCAGTAGGCCCTATGGCTTCTCTGAAACAAAAGATTTAGTTATTTAGTTCTCAGAATTCAGGGCATGATATTTTCCATTAAGCCCTAGAAAGTTCCTTTGACAGACTTGAAAGTTGTTTTATTACTTGTAGGGCATGTTTTAAGAATGAAAGAACTATAAATGATGGTCATCTAAAGACACAGTTGTGTATAGTATTTGATAAGCTTTTGTTTTTCAGGTTTTATTTAACTGGATGATGAAAATTGGGTACCACACGTCCCTATACAGCCTTTCTACTTCTTTTCCCAGAAGGCCTCTGGAGATGGAGGGAGATTTATCACTGCAGGACATAGGAATAACTGTGGATACTGTACTCAATGTGGAAGAGAAAGAGCAGAGCAACTAGTCAAGAAATGAGAACTACCTGTTCTACATAAAATCGGTTATGCCATGACCTTACTGGACAATAAAGGATTCACATTAAAATCATGCCATACCTTGATTGAACTCAAAGGAGTAAACACTTTGATATCCATAGGGGATAGATAGACATAAAGGATTAGAAAAGGATTGCTCTCTGTATGTAATAGTTTTTTTGGTAACATGTCATCTTATACCAAATAAGAATAATGTAATAATGTATATAACAACATATTCAATAATTTCTGTTTTTCCTAGCTGACATCATTTAACAGTATGTTGAAAGCAAAGTCATACTGACTAGTATCTGCTCTTTAGTCCATCACAATTCAGGACTTTAATTCTGCTGGCCAACACCTTGACTGCAGCCTAATGAGAGACCTTGAGTCAGACCCGCACAGCTAAGCCCCTCCTAGATTCTGACCCACAGAAATTGTAGGGAATAATGTTTTTGCTATTGTGTTTTGGGGAAATTTGTTATGTAGTAATAAATAACTAGTACAGGAAATATTCAGGGCTCTTTCCCCAACCAGAAGTTCTTAAGAGTGACTCTCTTTTCTGATGTATTGTTTGGTTTCTCTAGTTGTTGATATCTCTAATCAGGGATCCTTTCAAAGACTCAGTAAAGCTTCCAGCCATCATTCTATGACAGACTCAAATGAAAATAGGTATGGACAAAAAAAGAAAATGAACATTTTGGGGCCTCCCTCGTGACGCAAAGGGTTAAGTCTCAGCACTATGCAGCTATCTGCAGCCATTGCAGCACCAGTTCGATCCACGGCTAGGGAGCTAACCCACATGGCACATCACACCTGTGCCATGCTCCCCTCAGCAGTGTATTTCAGTAGATATGCCTGTTCTGTACCCCACTCTGACTCTGGTGAATCCTCACACCTCTGGCCTATACCCCAGTTTTTGTGTGCATACATAATCTTTAAAAAAAGAAAATGAACATTTCCACCTGTTCTGATCACAAACTTTCATAAGCTCTATTTTCAGTTGTCCAACCACATCCATTTCCAGTAATTTGAATACAGAAACTGATGCATTAAATAAAAAACTTTATTATCTTTTAAGCAGCCAAAATTAGTAGTTCCTTAAATTTGTGGAATAAAAATCCCTTCTGTGTGTCTGGTTTCTTTTTTATTTTTTTTTTTAAATTATTTTATTTTTTAAAAAAGATTTATTTATTTATTTATTTATTTATTTATTTATTTATACAAGCACTGGGTACAGTCAGAAGCGTGGGAGGGTGAGAGAATTCACCAGAGCCAGAGCAGGTTGCAGAACAGGCAGACGATGAAGTACACTGCTGAGAGGAGCAGCGGGCGGCAGGAGAGGTCTGCGCCATGTGGGACCCTCGCCCGGCGAACCGGTGCTGCAGAGGCTGCGGGCAGCTTTGCAAGCCAGGGCTCAACTGCTGCGCTACCAGGGAGGCCCTAAAGATTTATTTATGCATACAAGAACTGAGGTACAGGCCAGAGGTGTGGGGGATGAGAGGATTCACCAGACACAGTGGGGAACAGAACAGGCAGACTGACTGAAACACACTGCTGAGGGGAGCAGCAGGCGAGTCAGGAGAGGTCTGCTGCACCATGTGGGTTGCTTCCTGGCTGCAGTGGCTGTGGAGCGTCTTAACCCCTTGTGCCACCAGGAAGGCCCCCCTTTTTTTTTTTAAGATTTAATTTGCAAACGAGCTGGGGAGTAGGCCAGAGGTGCAAGTTGGTGAGAGGATTTACCAGAGGGAGAGGGGAGAAGAACAGATGGATTGACTGATATACACTGCTGAGGGGAGCAGCGGGTGAGACAGGAGAGGTCTGTTCCGCCATGTGGGTTAGCTCCCTGGCCAGGGATCAAACTTGTGCAGCAGTGGCTGTGGATGGCTTCATAGTGCTGACACGTAACCCCTTGCACTACCAGGGAGGCCCCCTCTCCAGTTTCTAACAGAAAAATATTAGGATCATTTTCTGTGTAGTAGTGCAGTACATTTTTCTTTAACAGTGAACAAATGTGTACAACTAAAGGGCTAAAAATGGAGATGCTTAATTGTTTCCTTGGCAACAAAAGCAGTATTCTTCCTCTGAATTTAGGCAGAGGAAGTGCAGATGCTACCAATCTTTATATTTATGGTTAATACCATTCTTGTAATGAATTGGAAAAATTGAAACATTGGGGAATTAGTAATTTTTTCCAGATATGGCGATGATAATTGATTTTAGGTGAGAGAATATCTCTAAAGAAACATACTGGAGTGTAATAGGAATTATCATTGATCAAAATTTGCTTCAAAACTAGGGAGATGGATAGTGGGATGGGATATAGAGTTATTACTGTCAAGTGGTAGGTACATAGGAGTACCTTGTATTTCTACTTTTTTTAGAAGTTTTCATAATAAAATGTTCAAAGATATCAACAGGCTTGAGATAAAAAAGGAGCAGACATGAATTTGTCAAGTGACAGAAGAGCTCTAAGTTAGAGTTTTTCTAATAGCCTCAGAGAAACTAACTTGAATCCTATTTCAATTTAGCCTATTTGTTACTGATTTTAATAATATGCTTTGGTGTAATAGTAAAATGTAGTTCTCAAGTTTTTACATCTAAATATTTATATCTGAGTATTAAATTAGAGCATGTGATTCTGTTCCTTTTCTCCTTAATAAACTTTATTTCTCAAAAAAAAAAAAAATAGAGCATGCAGTGAAGGTGATCAGGAGTGCACTTTATAAACTAAAGCACTGGTACACAGGCCACAAATCCTTAGAGAATTTCCCTTCATTATTCTCCATCCTCTGTTCATGCTTCACTTTATAAACTCTCTTCAATGCAGTGGACAGATGTGGGGAGATCAACTCATTTGAGTTTAATAATACTGTAGCTGCCTATTAGCAAAAACCACAAATATCATTTTAGGATGTTAAAACTGTGACATTAAGGTCCTCCCTGGTGGTATAGGGGTTAAGACAGCGCTATCAAGCTACTGCCAGTCACTACAGCACGAGTTCAATCTGGCAGGCCAGGGAGCTGACCCACATGGTGCAGCAGACCTCTCCTGTCTTGCCACTGTTCCCTTCAGCAGTATATTTCAGTACATCTGCCTGTTCTGCTCCCCACTCTCTCTAGTGAATCCTCTCACCCCCACCCCCACCTCTGGCTTATACTCCAATTCTTGTATGCATAAAATAAATATCTTTAAATAAAACTGACATTGAGTTACTTTGTTATGGGGAGAACATACAGCTGTCTTTCTGAAGGAAATTTGAAAAGAAACGTGATAGTCCCCTTTAAATGAATATTAAGGGAAATATTAAGGCCTTGCCTTAATCAGTTAATTGTTGTATTAGCTCAAATTGAGATCCTAAAAATAACAAGTCTTAAATTATACAGCAGTTTTGGATTGTTGCAAAGAACGTTGGTCTACCTGAACAACAACAGCTGGGTGACATACAAAATAACATTACTGAGCACTCAGATTGCTAAAACTGCAAAGCAATCATGTAACCTGAAATCCAGAGGATGAGCCACCCTGAGAGACATGATACAGACTTTTCCCTTTGGCAAAGCACAAGAGTGATTCCTATATAAACAGATGAGAGGGCCTCCCTGGCGGCACAAGGGGTTAAGCACAGTACTGTGAAGCTATCCGCAGCCTTCGCAGCGCGAGTTCAATCCCTGGCCCCTGGCTGGCCAGGGAGCATCCCACATGACACAGCAGACCTCTCCTGTCTCACCCGCTGCTCCCCTCAGCAGTGGGTTTCAGGCAGTCTGCTGCTCTTTCCACTCTATCTCTGGTGAATCCTCTCACCCTCCTCCCCCTTGCACCTCTGGCCTGTACCCCAGTTCTTATATGCATAAATAAATCTTAAAAAAAAAAAAAACGAGAAAAATTCAGCTATGATTTTAGCATTCGTAAAGGCCAAACGTGGGCTACTGCATCATTTTGGAACAGGACAAGTTATTTAATTTGTAGGTCCTAGTGCAAGATGGAAATGTGGGAATCTGTTCACAGATGAATGCAGGAAGGGGATAGCAAGTCCCACACTATGAAGTCAGCCCCGACTGGGGCCTCGGGCACAAAGGGAGTTCTCACTCATGTGAAAGCCCTTCTCCACTGGCCTTCAGGTGTTCATTAGGAGTGAAGACAGTGTAAGAGAAAGTCAACAAAGTGGTGCAAAGTAGGTGGTGACTGGTGGTTGTGGAGGAACACGCATGAAACTCCACCCTCCTCACCATTCTACAAAGCTGAAGTCTTAACCTGCTGGAGGTGGTACACCAAGTACTAATTTAGCCACAGGATATTGGCAAACAATCTACTGTTCCTGGACAAGCAGTAGAAGTAAAATCCATGTGCTTCTCTCAGGTCATAGGTACAGCTAATAAGCCACTAAGAAATGAAATAAAGAATAATCCAAAAGAAGGAAAAGAGGGAATGAATTATGGAATAGTATAGGACACAAATAGCAAGACAGATTTAAAGCTAACTATGCCAATAATTGCATTTAATGATGGCACCCCAGTTAAAAGATAGAATGTTAGGTTGAATAAAGAAGTGTTGATCTATATACTGTATGAAAGAAACTGATCAATACCTTCAAACCACCTAAAGCTAACATGAAACTTTGGTAATCTTAGCTAATGCAACATAAAAACGTGTAAAGATTAGGAAGAAAAAAACTTTACATTTAATGTGCAGCATGATTTTGTAATAAAATCCAAAGTAATTTCTGGTAAGTATTAAACATATTTAGTATGGCTGTGGGATATAGGCACACTATTCTAAACATCATTTTTAATTTTTAAGACAAAGTTTAGAAAAACAATATGAAAATACTGTATGCTATATATAAAAACCTCTTAAAAATTTCCATTATTTTATCTTGACCGTTGTTTAATTTAAAAACGAATAGGTATTTCTAAAACTTGTGTTTTTGCTACTGACGCCAAAATTGTAATAGTCAGAAAATTTGGTGTTGTATATAATTTTTGTAAACATTTTTAAACTTGTCTTATGTTATAGTAATTGCCAATCTTTACAAATGTTCCATATAAATTTGACAAGAATGTATATTCTGTTAGGGTCCAAAATCTTGTTATAATAATCTTATAAAAGTGTTAATCATATCCACATCTGTATGTTTGACTTAAAAACAGATGTTGAAATCTGCCACTGTAATGAACATTTGTAAATCTGTCTATGCATTTCTAAGGATTTTGTTTCTAAAACATTGTCATTATTTTGGTAGGGGCATACAGGTTTAGAATGGTAAGTTAACTCTATCTGTATTGATCCTCTGTTTTCGAATTTTGTCTTTAATTCAATTTCAATATAAATATAGCTACTTCAGATTTAAGAATATCCTCAGTATATTCTTTTCTTTTTTTTTTAAAGATTTATTTTATTTATTTATTTATACAAGCACTGGGTATAGTCAGAAGTGCGGGAGGGTGAGAGAATTCACCAGAGCCAGAGAGGGGAGCAGAGCAGGCAGAGGGACCGAAGAACATTGCTGAGGGGAGCAGCGGGCGGCAGGAGAGGTCTGCGCGCCATGTGGGACCCTTCTCCGGTGGCCAGGGAGCAGCCGGGGATAGAACCGGCGCTGCAGAGGCTGTGGGCAGCCTTGCAACCCAGCGCTCAACCGCTGCACCACCAGGGAGGCCCATATTCTTTTTTCTTTTTAAAGGGAAACTTTTTTTTTTAGATTTATTTATACATACAAGAGCTAGGGTGCAGGGGTGAGGCATGAGAGGATTCATCAAAGTGGGGAGCAGAACAGGTAGATATACTGAAACACACTGCTAAGGGGAGCAGTAGGCGAGACAGGAAAGGTCTGCTGTGCCATGTGGGTTAGCTCCCTGGCCAGGGATCGAACTCGTGCTGCAGCGGCTGCTGATAGCTCCACAGTGCTGAGACTTAGCCCCTTGAGCCACCAGTGAGGCCCTCTTATTTCCAACCTATCCAAGCACTCCACTTTTAGTGTCTTGTAATCAGTACATATAGCTGGATTGGGGGAAAAAAAATTTTTTTTTTAAACATTTATTTATTTATGCATACAAGAACTGAGGTACAGGCCAGAGGTGTGTGGTGAGAGGATCCACCAGAGACAGAGCGGGGAGCAGAACAGGCAGACTGACTGAAATACACTGCTGAGG